CCCCCATTGATTTTGCTTGTCAGAAGGTTGTAAAAGGGAATCACATGACTCTGGGACACTGCAACCATCATAAATGTGAGTTAGTTATTAGACGTCTGAATGTAAATCACATGACCACATGAGGATGATGTAACTGTTTTTAAATGTGAAAAATGGTCATAAGCCACTTTCTTCAGTGCCATTGTAACTTCGAATGGTCACTAATTGAACTATTTTAAGTCAAGGACTACCTGTACTCAGGAGTCTTCTCAAACATCGAAGTTTAAATGCATCAGTAGTCTTTCTATCCTGCTTCTTCCAATTCATACCTTACATGATTCTGTCACATTGCATTTATTTTGCTACATTACCTAATCCACTTTGTAACAGAAAAGTAGGTGTGATTACATTATGTTGTTCCTCTTGGCGCCAATGAAATGTCTTTGGGAATATGCAGATTGGTGGCAGTTTCTCATAACTCACCGGGAACCAAGCTGCTTGGTGTCGCCTGTAAGATTTTTACATGTAGAGCTTTTTATTCCTTCTTAGCTGCTCATCTTCTGCTCGAATTCAGAGGCTTTTAATAAAACTTTCTGTTAAGCACAATAAATGTGCATTTAAACGTTCTATCTGGATTGTAGCCTAACCCAAAATGCCCAAGTCTTCTGATAGTTTCTTGCAAGGAAAAGAAGCTGTTTTTGTCTAGTGTCCAAAAGATTGATTCCAAACAGAAACATGCACTCAACTTACTCTTTGTGGTGTAATGGTATAGCAGCCACATACTATATGTTTATTTACTATGGCTTTATCTCAAAGCCTCCATATGTGATTCACATAAAGCTATCAATTTACATGGACAAAAAAAAAATTAGAGATTTTCATACACTATTCAGACTATCTTTCAACTATTTCTAAACTTGCATTCATTTCAACACATTGGTTTCCAAACAAATATGCTTGTTTTTTTAATGCGTATGTTACACTGTGTTAAAGTAAAGACAGGCTGTCAAAAACTGGTCTTCCAGAAATTCCATTGTGAAGTACCAGTGGATCATGCCTGACTTAAACTGGGTCATACAATTATTTTCTTTCTAAACAGTTAGGACAAAGACAAGATGACAGACAAGATTTAGACTACATATTTCACTAACTCACAACTGTCTAGGTTTACACATTGTGACAAGCCATAATGTGGTTTGATTTGGGCTGACTGGGTAAATATAACCATTCATAAAACATGTTTTATGAAATAGCATGTGATTGGTTATTACAAGAACAGACTGGTGGACTAAATGGATTAAGCATCCCATCTAACAGCTTTTTAACAAATCATTATGGCTTATGCATCTTCTGAACTCTGAAATAACTATTGTTTGGAGTTCCTCAAAATAAAGACTTGCAACTTAAAACAACCTAGTATAAAAATTCCCAGATTTCAGAAACTTCCTAATACAGGTGAAACTCAAAAAATTTCCTTTTCATTGATGCAGTATTATTGGTCATATTAATTTTTAAAATGAATGTGTATTGACACAAATTATTAATCCAAAAATTTAAACTGATATTGAAATGGTATGAAGATAAAGCAGCAAGTAAAAGTCTGATGGAACACTCAACCATCTGAGAATGTTAATATCACAATGAAAAATTTGACAATCACGTATTTAAATTAGTAAGCTAAAATACCAATGAACCTTTTGCCTATACATGTAACATTTTCACTTCCCTCTTATCTCAAACTACAATTCTTTTTTCCCAAAATTCTCTAATATTAGCTTTCCAATTTTGCCCACAGCTCACTAAACATAGTTGCCAACATTAGAATGCAGCAGAATTATTGAATGAAATCCAGATAAACCCCATTTGTCATTATTTTCTGTAATACTGTTAGATAATAAGAGAATCCCATGCTATCTTAAATCACACATAAACTACCTAGGATTTTTTTTTGAACTGCACTTCTATATTATCCAAATTAATGATGAGTAAGCACATTGCAGATAGCCATTCTTTCACAAAATGCTTTCAGTTTTCATTCCAAAATTTCTTCCTTAGTGAGGACACACAAATTGCAAATTTCATTCTACTTGCTTACTTCCTTATTTTCTCTCTACTCCAAGGGTGTCAAACCCGCGTAGTCACAGCAGTGTCACATGACATATCGTGACGTAGGCGTAGACAATGCGTGATGCATTCGGCCTGCGGGCCATGAGTTTGACAGCCCTGCTCTACTCCTTAATACTGTTAATTTCAAACAATGCCAGGATATTCAACAATTGCTGAGTATCAATCATTCTTTCATTAGACTTTAGGTCTAATCAGTCCGCCAACACATCCTACATGAAAAAGACGTATTTGCAAGGTATGTGGCATGGTTACAGTAAGCATAATTTGGATCTCAAAAAAGTTGAATATGAGTCCATAAGACTTAGGCAGCCTCCATCAAAATCATGTTGACTGTTGGGCTAGATCTGTTTGATTTATATTTCATAATGGTCCACAAATTATGCTGAGGCATGGTGTGGTTAAATTATGGTTTGTTGAATAGATCACTTTTACCCAAACCCATATAAGGCATATTTTATAAAATACAACAGCTGGGCCCACACAGTACTCTATACCAAACCATACATACTGATGCAGGAAAGTGGGTGTGGTTTTTTCTCTTTCTACTGCTCTTATGGGTAAGAAGCAACTGGCAGAGATTTTAAAGACGGTCTAGATACAAGGAAGAATTTCCTGACCATGCAAGATATTCAGGCATGGAAAAGCCTCCCTCCTGGAGCTGTGAGGCCCACTGAAAGCTTTCAGGCAAAGGTGGGACAGCCATTTGTCCACCATGATCTGAGAAGTGATTTGGATTAGAAGACTTCCAGTCCTGTGATTCTGTGATATATTCAGAACTTCCTCAGGATGATCACTGATAAATTTATTTAAATTATACATTTATGAAGGGGACTTAAGATTTATGAGAAATTGTTTTTTGTTTTTTTTTACTAAATTAAAGCAAGATCTGTAAATCTCTAATGAAAGGAATTTAAAAATCCAATGGACTCTTCTACCTCCAAGGCTTCATGAAGGCTGTTGTTCAGAGTGAAAAAGTAAAAAGAAAATCAAAATTTAAAATTCATAATCTCTCAGGATGTAACTAGGAGCCACCTTCCATAGCAAATCCACCCTCTAGTGGCCATTACTATGCATCTAATATTCTGATTGCTTTAAAAGAGCACCAAAAGTTCTGGCCAATATAATCTTTTCATTAAACAGTGTATGTACTTTTCCAAGTCCCTCATGGTTAATTCACAGCTATTGCGATTTCCTCAAAACATGGAAATGCTCAGTTACTGATTCTCATTTAGTCTCTCCTTAATTAGAATAAAAGTGCAACTTCAATCAATATCTAGGTCAAAGTGCATTGTACAATACAAGCTGAGGGGGGAAGAATCAATGTGTAGCACTATTGCCCCTTCCTTCCACCCAACAATCTGGTTCCTAGCAGACAGAGAAACAAAAGTCCAATCTGCTGATCTAAGTACATTTGTATACATGTGGAATAAACATACCCTTCTCTCTTGCAGAATACATGGAACCTTCTCATTTCAAATTAATGTTTGAAAGTGCTAGAATTTGAGGAAAGAAAGGTTTTTTAAAAATCATGTTACACGCCCAATTTTTTTTTAAAAAAAACACCTATGTCTTTGGTTTTTCCCATCACACAGTGCCCCATCTGAATATCAAGATACTAAACTTAGACTTTAAAATAACACAATAAATCACAGGAGCTGCCTTGCTAACTAGGTCATCATTTTGCAATGAGGGCACCTTAAGAAATTTCTCACTAAGAAGAACATATTCAAGCATTAGAGTGTCAAGGCAGAATTGAAATTAGGTGATTTTTTTTCTCATTTCGCCCTAAAAATAGAAGCCTATATTGCATGTTGAACTGCACTTAACATGTGTGCGTGTGTGAGATTTGTATAAAATTGTAACTATAATATAAAAACCCTGCACTATCACACCTACAGTCTCAAGTACAATATCGAGGTGTATATTTATCTACAGAAAATAATCTCAAAGTAAAATTAAATACGCCTCCATGTCTATCAAAGCAAAACAATTCTACTTTTCACTAATAGTTAATAAGATACATAAGGCATACACAAAAAACACCTTCCAATTTAAATATTGTATATATTTCCTCTAGAGATTCGTCCTTTCTTTCCTATACACACACACAATTACACATAGATGATCATTCTAAGCGGGTGATTGATGGCTTCATTGATGGCCTTTTTTGTCCCTTTTGGTACGATTTTGAAGATAGGAAGCCTGGGGCACTACTGCCTGAAGGCCGAAAAGCTAAAAGTGTAAGCTGCCTCACTATATTTCAAACTCTGCTCCCAATTCGGCCCACCTCCCCACCCACTCCCTCAGTTTCCATCCCCTCCTTTAAGCTCGACAATGGAGCCTCTGCAGCTAGACAGGAAGGATGTGTCCGCGCAAGAGCCTTGCCACGGAAAAGGCCACACGCTTCCTGCCTTTCCAAGGGTGGGGGAAAGGCTGTATTGGGGAGGGGGGGGAGGTGAGAGACCCTGGACAAAGGAAAGTGCGTGGATCGAAACGAGTCCCGGGCTCGGCTCACTTTCCGACATATCCCGAATTGAAGGAGCCTGACGGATTGAATCCAGGCGTGTCAGGCGCGCTTTTTTTTTTTGGGGGGGGGGGGGGGAATCTGCCCGAGCCTCTCTGCCCAGATAATCGCAAAGGAGCCTCGCCTTATGCAGCCCACCGCGCGGGGTTTTGGGCTGCAATGGTTGCAAAGACCCCGCACATGCTGGCAAGGGGCAGTTTGGTGCCTTTCCTTGCGTTATGCGACGCCCTGGCGGCGAAGCCCAAGTAAAACCCGATTCTCTTTACGGGGCCGGGACGGCGTAGGCGGCCGGGAGGGGCGGGGGAGGGCGCGAGGGGCGAGGGAGAGATTTTTTTTTAACGGGAAATATAGGACTATTAAAGACACTTACTTTATCTATAGTACCCGGCAGCAGGCGATCCAGCAGTCTGCAGAGAACCACCCCGTCTTTCAGAGATGCCTGCAAAAATCCCTCCGGGTCGGAGATGCTTTTTTTGGGCGACTCCAGCACCCCCAGGGTGATCAGCCATGTAACGGTTTGCTCGGCTGAATTCATGGCTGCTGCCGCTGCCAAGAAGAAGCTTCTAATCCCACCGAAGAGCCAGCGCGCCGGAGACGGGGAAAGCAATGCACCACTCGGGGAGGCGAGGGTCGTAATTTTACGGGGCGCTGGGAACTGTTGCTTTCTCCCCGGACTTGCCCCCCAACCACCCCACCCTCCCCCTTTCCCCCCCACCCCTTGATTTCTTTTTCTTTCTTTCTTTTTTTTGGGCGGGGGGGGCTTGGGGTTTCACATGGAGGCAGCAGCCGAGTCGCGAGTCGCCGCTGCTTCTGCCGCCGCCGCTGCTGCTGCTCCCCCTCCTTTTTTCTCCCGTAGTTGCAGAGGATGACGACTCGATTTACGAAATCCAGGAGGTTCAGTTTCTCCCTCCCGTGTTTTTTGGCAGATTGTCAAACGCCTTTTCATTATGTACACATGAACCTGCAGCGCCTCCCCCCGCCGGCTGCCTCTCCATGACATCATTCGGGGGGGAGGGGGAGAAAAAAAATTAGACCCTCGCCAGCTCCGCGCGCGGACCTCGCGACGAGTCAGCGCTCCCCCCCCCGTCGGGCGCGCGCGCGCGGGAACCTCGACTTGAGGCAGCGATGCCGCCGAGCCTTCTCGCAAAGGCGCCCGCGGGCCGGCAGTGCGGGAGCTGGGATCCCGCGCGTTCCGGCGAAAGGGGCGCATGCACGGGTCCGTGGTTGCACGTGAGTGCTCGTGAAGAGGCAGGGTTGGTTTTGCTTCTGAGGCCTGGCGAGGTCTACGACAGCCTTGGAAGCGTGTATGTGTGTGTGAGAGAGACAGAGTGGCGGAGGTCTACGAGAGCCTTGGAAGTGTGTGTGTGCGTGTGTGTGCATACACAGGAAGGGAATATAGAGCTTCCATGACTCAAATGATCAGCTGGGCTAAATTCAACATAAACATTTACCAGAAGATTGGAAAGAAATAATCTATGACAATCTCCTGCGTGAGGCTTTTCCAGTGATTTGAAGGGAGACCCGCGGGGAGGGGGGGGGTGTTTGAAACCAGCCGACTTTTCTCACTGAGTCACCAGAATCTGTACGACTCATTAAAAAAAAAAAAAAATTCGCTCCCTCGGCAAAGAAGGGCAAGAAGAGCAACGCGGGGAGGCAGAAATAAGAGCTACCCCACGTATCTTTTAATCCTTTTCGGGAAGCTCCCAAGCTACAAATTCACCGTACCACTGAACGAGAGAAGATGCGGGAAAATAATCCGCCTGGCTTCTTGTGCAACGGAAAGAAAAAATTATTTCCCCCCCCCAAAAAAACACCCTTCGCGTTTACGACGGACCTTTTCTCGCGCTCCAAAACGGTTCCAAGAGCTCCGCGAACAGTATCCATTCAACCCTGAGGTGGCTTGAGCGGTTCTTGCTCGCGGCGCCCTCCAGCGGCAGGTGCGTTTATTTCTACCACTGGATTTTTAAAGTAACGCCAATAAGTCGAAGCGGCATTGATATGCGGCTTTTGTGAAGGAAAGTTTCTTGCTGCTTTTCCTGCTGACTGAAAACCACAGATAAGCCGCATAAATAAATATCTGTTGTAAAATCTAAGATAAGTTGCATAAGCGCGCAATCGTGCCTACCGTCCCTGTCCTATTGTCCCCAATTATTAGTTCCTATTTTATGTATTTAAACTTATGTTTATTCTTGTTTCTATTATATTGTAAGCGATTGACTAAATAAAATAAATGAAGTACTTTTAAAACAAAATGAAGTACTTTAAAACAATATCATTAAAGGAATTTTAAAACAATCACTTGAGGCATTTTTAAAATAAAATGCTTATTATCACAGCTGTCGGTGCTAAATTGTTAGAGCCTTAATAAAATCGATTCTGATTTATAAAACATATTTTATTTCCCTTTCATTCAGTAAAGCAATTTTTTAGTTTAAACAAAACAGTAAAGTATATACCTTTTAGCAGCTATTCCACCTGGTTGCAACAGAGGGAAGAATTACACTGCAGAATCTAACAATTCATTTGATCTCTTCCCCCTCATTTATTTCAATGAAAGTTGACCATTTTAACAACTTCATAAATCATTTGAAGGGCTGGTGTCTGAGCTTGCTTATTTTGTTTTTACTCTCTCTTCCTCTTCCTTTTGTACCACTGTAAAGTACCACTGTCTCCGTATGCTAAGCTTTTCAAAAATTAAACCATCATTTTAACTTATTTTAACTAAGTTAACTATGAAAACCAGATCGTCTTGGTGAGATCCTAAAGAGATTGGTCATATAGGCTTTATTAAAGATCCCATGTGGAAGATGATCCCTGTTTTTCAAGGTACAGCTGTAGGAACTATGGTGGACTGCGAGATCCTAATAGGCCCCAAATCAAAAAGTAAACCTTTACTATCAAGTTGATTAATCTCTAAGTCTCTCTTCGGTTTCAGCGTAAGGTTTTAACCAGCAGTCACCATCTTTCTGAAGTTGAATGATACCAGGTTTTGTCTAATGCCAGATGTGAATAACAACGTAAATTTAGAAACCAAACCAAAGACAGAGTACATTTATATTTTCATTAAATATAATTCATATAATTATATTTTCATTAAAAACTATTTTATTATTAACACTTTACTAAATTATTTTATTACTGGATGAATTTTAGAAATCCAGAATATTTGGAATGCTCCTTTTTCTGTGGCTAAATATAATAGATATTATTCAGTTTTTAAGTGTTAGAGCCAGCTTGGTTTCAGAAAAACAATTAGGACCTGAGGTACATTTGAGATCTGCCAAAGGCAGTTACTAAAGACAACATTTAAAAATCAAGATCAGATATCTAAATAGGGTGAGATTGATAGCTGAGCCTTGAATGTTCTGAATTTATGCAGATGAAAAAAGACAGAGATATGTAATAGTCCTGTAGTTCACTGGGCTGATATCATGTCTAAAGTTTCAGCCTTTTATTGTACACTCTCAAAAGTATTAATTGTCTATTAAATAATTTAAAAGCTGTACATTTCAGGAACAGCTAGACCAGTGATGGTTAACCTTTCCGTTTTCGCGTGCCAAAAGTGCAAGCACACACATTTGCCCACATGTGTGCCAGCACCCATAAGGCAATGCACATGGGGGTCCCACGCCTCCTGCTCATGCGAGCACACCCCCTGCCTGCACGTCTCTGCACATGCAACCCCCCCAGGTGTGATGCATGTTTCTGCGCATGTGTGTGCAACTCCCCCACATGCATCATGCATTTCTGCGCATGTGCATGTCTCCTGCACGTGCCCCACCCCCTGCACATGGTGGCAGCTACCCAACAATCAGCTGGCGGGTGGACAGTGCACATGCCTGCGCAGTGGACCTGCTTTGGGGTAACAGCGCGCGTGCCAACGGAGATGGCTCTGCGTGCTACTTCTGACACGTGTGGCATAGGTTCACCATCACAGAGCTAGACACTCCAAACACTTGTTAAAATTAAAACCAGATGAGCTCATTTGGTAAATTTTTCTTTGTTTCTACAATTGTTATGGCTGCCTATCTCATTCTCATAACTGAGCAGTAACAATATTAAAAACCAATATAAAATAATGTGAATTATTTGTATCATCTCTGGAAAACAAAACAGTAACAAAATATCTTATGGAGAAACACCTGTGTATTTCTGCAAGATCTACAGAAGGTTCAGAGTTGCTTTGCCTGAAAATCCTTTTTCAAACTTGACCAATTAATTATATTTAAAGGTAGATAACACGTATGCATGTGTTACGGAATTCAAAACAATTGTTTTTAACTGAAAATCACAGAGAAGTACAGATGTTACACAATACTAAAATTTAGACAACTGAAGGAGCAACTTCAGCAAGGTGAAAATTTTGTATTTTGATTAATATTTGTAGGTTATTGCAATTATTCAGCTAAATTACTACACAAGAAATTATAAAGAATTAACAGAATCTGATATTTACATATGATATTTTGCTTGATCAATTTGATTCGTTCAGTTATCCATTTAAAACATTTGTGTAACAGCCTATCTTAAACTGGGCAGCTTGCATTCTCAGGAATGCTAGCCAAATAAATGCTTTGATTTATTTAATGTATTCTTTGTATTTTTAATTTGTTCCAGAAGTTGCTAATGTGCAGATAGAAGGGTGGGGGACCTATTAGCAACATATAAAGACTTAGATCAAGACCTCAAACACCTGGACAAAATTGTGGATAACTTATATAAAAGGTTTGCATTTTCTTTAAACCTGATTGGGTGCTTGCACAATTAAAATGGGAATAAGAATCCTAGAATTTGCACTGGGATTTGCACAAATAGAACCATATTTTAAGAATTTTTACCAGGCCAACATAAGTGTGCACAACTTGCACAGGCAAGGAAGAAACATGATTGATTCTCAGTTCTGACTTTGCTCCCTGCTTTGCTTGAACAGCCATTGTGATAACTCAATAACTCAAAAGTGGAGAACTCTGATACAGAATAAGTAGAAAATTTTTTATTGGCCAAGTGTGATTGAACACATAAGGAATTTATCTCTGGAGCATAAGCTCTCAATGTACATACAAACAACAAAGTGATAAGCCATAAATTGTAAGATGCAATCATAAATCATAAGATACAACCAACTAAGTGATAAATCACAGGATACCACTAGGAGAAGGTAATAGGAAAGATGAGAAGGCTAATAACAATACAATAATAACAATATAAGCCATGGTCATCCCCATCTTCGAAAAGGGAGACCCCAGCCTAGTTGAAAATTACAGACCAATCTCTTTATGCTATAGATATTTTCTCAGCCCTCTTTCTGGCTCATGCAATATACAGCTCCTCAATGGAAGGCAGGCTGGTTGCAATGGTTTTTTTCTGCAGTTCGAACTATCCATTGAAATCTGTACATGACCTGTTTGGTTGCTGTGCCACACCAGCACAAATATCATATGTAGATTTAACTTCCATTAAAGTGAAGTGTTCTTTCCTACTCTGCTCTTACTATAATGAAATCATTTGATGTTGCAATGCAATGCCTTAAGGTCCTGTCTTAAATAATTGACATTTAGTGTCTAAAACACTTTTAAAAACAAAGGGTGGATATTCTAGGAGTTGCTATTTTGAAAAGATTTCAAAAACTTAAGAGAAAGAGATCAATTATATTCCGCGAGTTCTCAGGTGATTTTGTCATT